GGCCTCACTGGGCCATCTGCACCACCACGGCTCTCCAGGCTCGCTCCTTGTCGAACTCCCTCGGGAGGCTCCTGGCCACCTGTGACAAGACAGGCACAGGTCACCACCGGACAGCCGTACGCGGGGAGGCGGCTGGGGTCTGGCAGCCCTCGGCCTGGGAGAGTCTGCCCTGGCCTCCACAGGAACAGAGTCGGGGCTGGGATGAGCTCTCCCCGTGGCCACATGCTGGCTCTGGGGGTGGACCGTGGCCTGGTGTCCAGGAGGCCGGGCTCCTGGGGACCCACATCTGCTCATGAGGCCTCTCTTCCTGCCGGTTATCCGAGGGGCCGGCCCCTGGCAGAGCCAGCACCTGTATACAGTAGGTGCTCGATAAATACTGGCTGATGGGGGGACAATACACCATAGCACAGGAAAAAGTGGGGCTTCCAGGAACTTCCTGGGGGCAGGGGATGCCACCCCCACAGAGAGGGGTCTGGACCTGGCCTGGGACATTGATGCCATTGGCTGGGGCCTGACCCCAGGGAAGGAGGATGCTCCGGGCAGCGGTCCCCCAAGACCCGCAGAAACGGAGGCAGCTGTGGGCGGCTCCCAAGTCCTTCCCCCAACTCTGTACCCTGGTGTCAAACACAGAACCAGACCCATCGCTTGTACAGCAAGGGACAGAGCCGTCCCCACGGGAGACCGACCACAACCAGGTCACAGGAAACAGCGGGTCTGGGACTCCGGGGCGTGTGGTGGAGGGAACAGTAGGACAGGATGGAGGGCAGTCACTGAGGGCGGGGCCCCGGGCAGGAGCTGGTCCCAGGAGGACCAGGAGCAGCCTGGTGGGGACACAGCGCCAGGGTGTGCGGAGCACAGAGCGAGACTGAGGGGCCTGGGTGGCCGGGTGGGAGGAGCGCCCAGTGCACTCGGGGACCTGCAGGACCCTGCACAGGGCATCCTGCACCTGAAGGGCGGTGGGCGGGGTCCCATGAAGCGGGACTGGGTGGGCTGCCCACAGGGAGGGAGGGAGCTTCAGCCGTCAGGTGTGGGGACAAGAGGTGGGATCTGGGCGAGTCCAGGCGGCCTGAGCCTGACCCTCAGGGCAGCGGTCACCAACAGGTGGTCCTTGAGGTCCAAAAGGTTGGTGACGGCTGCTCTAGAGCCCGCCAGCCAGAGGCTGTGATGCCACCACGTCTGCCAGGAGCGGGGGCCCCGCCCACAGAACCATGTCCAGAGGCCCGGGGGCCCCTGGGGGGCCACGTGAATCCTGGCACGTTCGCAGGAGTGAAACCAGGCATTCCGTCCGGGCGCGTCTTAGGGGTGGCCTTGCGTCTGCCCGGCTTTAAAAACCACACTCCTCTCCCTGCAGGCGCTTCCTGGGTCCTGAAAGAAGGCGGCGAGGGTGGATGCCACCTCCCGGGCCTGGGACTTACCTCCGCGGGGCGCTCCTGGGGGCGGGCCACCGTGAAGCGGGCGCACTGGACCACGGTGCCCGTGTGCAGGCTGGCCTGCACCACCAGCTCCAGCAGCAGCAGCAGCAGCCAAAGAGGTGGGGAGGGCTGGGTGAGTCCCTCAGTCCCGTGACCCCCGACCCCCGACCCCCCGGCCCAGAAGACCACCGTGGGAACCTAATTGGAGGACCCTGGGTGCGCAAGGCCATTGCCACACGCAGGCGCCAAGGCGGGGACCCGCGAGCGCACTGCACACCAGCACAGGCGCCCTCCCACCGCCCAGGTGCTGCCGGCACTGCTGGGCAAGAAGCCTTTGGTCTGGTTGAAGATGGTGGCTGGCAGCCGGGCTGGCAGCTGTCTGTGTGGCTGCTCCGAGGAGCGGTTCGTCTGATGGCTCCTTGGTAGCCATGGCTCCTTGGTCTGCAATAAGGCCTCTCATATGCCTAGGCAGTGATGGCGAACCTATGACACGCATGTCAGAGGTGACACACGAACTCATTTTTTTGGTTGCTTTTTCTTTGTTAAATGGCATTTAAATATATAAAACAAATATCAAAAATGTAAATCTCTGTTTTACTGTGGTTGCAAATATCAAGAAATGTCTATATGTGACACGGCACCAGAGTCACGTTAGGGTTTTCAAAATGCTGACACGCCGAGCTCAGAAGGTTCACCATCACCGGCCTGTGACCACTCATGTCTTCATCTAACGCCGGCGTCCAAGGACCTGCGCCCCACAGCTGGGCAGCGAGGAGGGTCCAGGAGGAGGTACCCCACAACCCCGCGGCCAGCTTCCTGGGAGCGCGGAAGCCGCCCGGACCGCACCCCCTGCGCGGGAACCTCAGTGCCGGGAGAGGGATCCTTCTGCCCGAAGCGGCGGCGGACTCAGCTCTGCTCCGGTTTAACGGGCACAAAGGGGCCCCGAGAAGCCGGCCAGTCTCCCGTGTCCCCCACAACCGCCCGGCCACGC